GCAACACATATGAGGGTGAAACATCGTGAGGGAGCTTTGCGGAATCTCATTAACCAAGCAGGTAGTCATTAACAGTGTGACCTTTGGAAATAATCACCAGCCTCTCTCTGTAGCTGTCTCTCTCTGTTTGTCTCCCGGAGCTTGCGGCTAAACGCGCTCCTTTCTATTGACGATTCATTCAGAAGTTGTGGCGCTGAGAGAAGAGAGAAGATTAAAAGGTGGCTGTTCAGATAAAGCTAATCTATGATGGGATGGGTTTGGCAAACTCTCTCTCAAGTGTTTGTGTCCTGCTCACACGACCGCTCCACGTGATGATGGAGTGCTGACATGAGTAAAGCATGCAGCCACAACGTGCTTCTTTTCTTTCATAGCCATGCTAATCTCTCTTGGTTTTGCCTAATCTTTAATAACTGTGCTGCAAAAAACACAACAACAGTGATTACTAATTAATCATTTTTATCCAGTGACATTACTCAATAATTTACTGATTTTATATGTTTAAGTAATAAAATGTTATAGAAAATTATATATGTAATTTTGTATTATATATACACTATTATATTACATTTACATTATTCTTTAATTTACCGAAATTATTTACTGAAGTTATTTAAAATGATAAATTATTTATATAACATTTTGTAAAATGTTTTTATGTAATATTTACATAATTCATTACTTGACTGATTTGATATTTTATATATAAAATGCTGTTTACAATTATATACATTTGTAATATATTTTATAAAAAAATATATTATTTTGCATCATTCATTTACTGATTCTATATATTATAACAAATACATAAATGCATATGTTTTATTTATTTATTTATTTATAAAATGCTTTATAGTATGGTTTATTTTTATATTTTATAATTCATTAATTTACTGATTTCATGTAATACAAAATTAAACGGAATAATAATGAAACAGAGACTTTGATGAGTATCAATGCAAATGATCCCTCAACTGTTGTAAAAAAAAAACCAACAAAAAAACACAAAACCAACTCAGCTGAGCTCTAATGCTCCACACATGCTGGGGAAACTGGTCTGGCACGGTGCATTATGGGAAATCTATGGCTGTTTAAGTTTTTAATCTCCTGCCAAATAAACGCTGCATTGTATCCGCGCCAACAAATGAGAGCATTTTGACAACCAAACCATGTTGTTGTGTTTGTGTTGTTCCCCCCACCCCCTGCTAACCTAAAACTAGATAATTTTACCTTACACAAGCACTTGTAATCTGTTCTTTCTTCATGACTTAAGGTGTAATTATCTGGACCTTCCCACCTTTTGTCTAGCCTCAGATGTTAAGACATAGGAGACTTTTAATGAGTTTTTGTATTTAAGCTAAACATGCTAGGAAGGGTGCTTTGATTGAGGTATGAAGAGCTATGTAAAAACTGAAAAAATGTACAATGAACAACGAACACACTTGTTGATTAGTTTGACCCTGCTTTTTTATTTACCAAGGTCCCGGTTGATTATGAGTCTATCACCATTTTGTCTTGTAAAAAATAAATAAAATCAAAGCGTAAATATCATTTTGACAATATTTTTTTTTAAATCTATCAACAACTGAAAAAGTTTTCATCTCTTGCTTTTTCATGTCTCTCTTCTCACGTTTATATCTTTATTACGCAAATGCCAAATTGAGAAAGGCACATCTGCGTACATTTCGGCTGAATGGGAGAATGGCCTGACCTACGAAAGCAGAGATAAAAATGGATGAAAACGGAAGACATAAGCGGAAAGAAAGAGCCAGGGAGAGTAGAGTAGGGTAGAAGAGCCTCTAGCCTCTCATAAACAGAGCTAAAGAGGCTGGGCAAGCCTCTCACTGCCTCTCTCCCAACAACGCTAATTATCAACCAAAGACATGCTAATTACATGGAGCTTTATTGCTAATGTAGCGGGCTGCTCTTCAAGACGCCCACACGCTGCGCCTGGCTCCCCTGCCTCTCCTTATCCTCCCACTGCACCCCACCGGCACTCCAGGCAAAGACAGGAAAGATGTGTTTTCTATGAGTGTGTGTGTGTGTGTGTGTGTGTGTGTGTTTTCAGCCCATTTAAACAATGCTAAATCGCTGTATGTACAGCAGACGGTCCATAGCCGATATATGTGTTTGTCTAACATGTCTCGCACACACACTACAGCTCAAAGCTGAACTATGGCACTGATACCCCAATGCCGAGTTCCCCCTCCGGCCCACCCAAGGCCTCGTCCCCATCCTGCCATCACAACAGGAAGTCTGCTTTGTTCCTCTTTACCTCCTACCGCCCACATCCCCTGGCTGTGCTGTAACCTAGCAGCAGAAAAATCGGGGCCCTGCAGGAGCTCAGCACTTCAGCATCGACAAATCCAGTTAGGGCGGCATTTTAGCCACCTTCAAATCGATTTCTCCAACACCAAATCTGGCAAATTGGAAAGAAACTCCACTAAAGCTGTTGCTTGGTGATGGGAGCAGTTTGACTCGCTATATGCTCTTTTATATTTTCTTTCCACTTCAATGTTTGCATGTGGTGATTTTCTGTCTTCACACGGCAGAGCAAACCAAGATGTTTAGGACTTGCTTTTTAAGTCGAATTCAGCACTCCTAAAGTTGTTCTACAATGTTTAGAAAAATAAAAATATATACCAGTATGATTTTACTTTTATCTCAGAGCTAACTGATAAAGACAGTTTCAGGTCTAGCTAACTAAAAGAGTTTTTGTTAAAATTGTGAGCATGACCTGTGATACTCTTGAAAGTATGTTATACAAGTAATGTTGGAATTGTAATGTAATTAAAAAAGAATATATTGCACCATATACCTTAATATTTCAACAACACCTTTAGGAATTTATAGCTTTCATGGAGTTACACAGCAGTGCATTTTCCAGATTTTTTTTTTTAAATGCATTTTATGGTTTGTTTTTGGATTATATTGTTTTTTTATTTTATTTTATTTTTTTTACATATGTTGTAATTAATTTGTAGTTATTTATATTTATATATTTATTATAATTGAGCTCTTTCTTTAATTTCACGAGTTGTTGTTTTTGTTTTCTTTATCGTTTAGGTGGAGGCTTTAAATAAGCCCATTGGGTTTTCTGCCTCTCCCAGCACAGTATATGGTTTGTACTTTTATGTTCTGTTTTTATTGTATTTATTTTATTCTTGTGCAAAATAAATAAACTAAACTAAAACAACTAAACATATATTATTATTTAAATTGTTTATTGTAATATTTAATATTATAATAATGTATATAATCAAATTAAAATAAAATATATTATTATAATTATTTAATATAATATTTTATTTATAATTATATTAACAAATTATTAAAAACAAATAAATATTATATGTAATAATAATAATAATAATAATTATTATTATTATTAATTTGAAATGAATAATAATTTAATTGACAAATTATTACACCACCACTTCAGTGTAAAGTGGATCTTCTTTATTAAATTCTTCCTTATGTTTCTAAACTACTGGCCATGGAGTGTGGACTGTAATACACATGAAAAGCATATGACATTCAGTCCTCCATGAGATTCTTCATGCATCAAAATGGTAAACCTCATCTAGCACAGCTGCTCAAGCTTGGAGTGCATTTTTGTAATTGTTCCTTGATGCACTGCAGGAACAACAAGCACTTTCTACCTGCCCTTTAAATCTGCCTCAAGGTCTGAGCTTATAGAAGAGGCAAAAACGGTGAGCATTTTGCACACTTTATGACAGATGATCAATTAATTTACAAAAACCCATCTCTGCATTTGAGATGATATTTCCTAGCACATAAAAACAAATACAAATATATTAATTATAAATGCCACACTGGCTTTATGAGATATATACATACAGAAATACACTTGCTGAATATGTAAATAAATACAACTAAATTATCGAGCTGCAGAGTTACTGAGCGAATTAAAGCAAGTGTAGATACAGCGGAAATGAAGATGGACCACAGAGTGAGCGGGAATGTGACTTGTGACAATATGTCAGTATAAAAAAGGAAGTAGACAGAAAAACCCTTTTGTCTGATTGACTCTAATAGCAAAGGAGTTGGAGTGCACTTAGATTGTGATCAACCCACTTCTCAACTCACCCATAGATCTAGGGATATTAACTTTGTACGTAGATGTGGACCTGTTGTTGTTCATGTAAAGAGGACACTGTCTTAGAGCCCTTAAGTCCTTCAAACAGTAGGACCACCTTGTCAACCCACGTATGTCACCTTTGCTTTTTAAGATGTGTTGTGACATCTCAGAAAAGTAGATTACATAGCAGCTCACTCTGTAACGTGCTTTTGGATGTTTGCCTCAAGACAGCTACAATAGCTTAGCGTGACCTGGCCTCAGGTTTATGGCAGGAACCCACGGACAACATGTCTCTAAGACGTGAGAGCCTTTAGGAGCATTAAGCTGATTGAGAAAATGCAGACATCAAAGTAGCTGGCATTCAAAAAGAACAGAGTGAAATGAAATACAGCATGATATTGGATGCATTTAGTTAGTGTACTTTTTATAATTACAATCAAAAGAGGTGCTGCATTATCTACAGTCATTTGGGTTTATGTCTATAGAGTCTCTCCATGAAAAATAAGAAAATAATGGCTGAAAATAAGAGTGCAATGGCACTATGCACAAGGAATCCTAGTCAAAATCACATGTTAATGATACATTTAGTCTATTGAAACATGATACATAACACACTGGACCAGATTTCAACCAGCCTAAAGGACCCCCAATATAACAATCTACATTTCCTATGTAACACTTTGTGTTTCATTTCAAACAGCCACTAAATTACATAATGTTTATCAGGTCAATAATTAATGTTCATTAAATTTGTCAGACATGTCATAAAAAAACAACTATTGTTAAAATATTTGGGGTCAGTAAGATATTTTTAATTACTGTTTTTAATTATTAAAAAATATAATGCCCTGCTGACAGTGTGAGAATGTCAGGTAAGTGTATGGAGATCTGAGAAACTCACCTCAACAATGTCAGAGTTGGTCCTGCTCTCATGTGGCTCATTGTACTCAGTGTATTTGAGCAACACTTTGTCCATATCTGTGCTGGCATACTGGAACAGCTTGTTAGTACTGTTGAAGATGATGAGGGCAATCTCACAGTCACACAACACGCTCAGCTCATAGGCTTTCTTCATCAGGCCAAACTTTCTCTTTGTAAACGTCACCTAGAGAGAGACAGAAGAGTGGGAAAAAGCTTAGACAGTACAGTCACAGGCTGTACTGACGGCGTAGCACAAAGCATTGGCTGGTGGCATAAAAACGGAGATGGATGACTCTATGTGTGTTTGCTCAGCGCGTTGATACTCTTAAAGTTGTCCTAAATACAGTGTTTCTTCGGAAAATCAATGTTACTTTTCTTTTCTTCTGTCTACTTTCCTTTATTTTCCTTTGTGCTCTTCCAAATTATCTGGAAAAATAGACAATAGAGTAATAGCTCCTTCCTCTCATAAATCAACTGAAGATCTTTTAAAAACTCTGTTCTTTAACCAAAAGTAAAATATTTATTCTTGCATTCATAAGAAGAAAATAGCTTTAATAATTGAAATATAACCTCCAAAATTAGGCATCAACCTTTCATTTAAGAATAATACAGTAACACCAACTTTGTCTGACCCCTCTAATACAAAAGTTCGACTTTATAATTAGGATAATTTCATTTCATAATAAAGGTTAACCATATTCGTCTTAAGTAAACTGGGGGAACAAAGAAAAATAGAAAGATTGTATTGCCCTTGCGTGCATCTGTGTGCAAATGCACTTTTTCAGCAGATGCACAGACATACAAACACATGCACACTCTCACTCGCACAAAGATCATCGCTGCCACAGAGTGTTTGAGAGGCTGTTAATGACTTCTCAGTGCATGTTCTCATCTAAATTAGCAGCATTAAAAATAAGAAGCATCTCTCTCTGACCTCATAGGTTTCATGTCTCTTGAGCACTTAAATGCAATGCTCGAGAAACCACACACACAAGACCAGCTCATGATATAGAAGGAACCTTGAGGCCAAACCACTAAACCCTTCATCTCTTTTAAATGTAGCCAAAATGTCCCCATGCACCTGTTATTGTGATACATGTTCACAGTAATCTATATCCCTTTATTTATTGCATAACGAAAGTGCATTACATTACAAAATATATTGTGCATGTGACAATCACCAAGATAATTTGCATGTATTAGCATAAGGTATTGCATTCTTTGATGCTGCAAACTTGTTTCTGACGTTGTCATGGTGAAACTATTTAGCTTATCTGGTATGTTAAATGAAAAAATAAATTAAAAAAAATAAAAAAATAAATAAAGAACGAGTCCTAGTTACAATTTAAAAAAAATATGGGTAAAGTCTAAATAACTAGTAGGTATAGTGTACTGTAAAAACATTTGTTGTCAGGTAATCTAAACAGATACTTTATGTGGAAACATATAAATTAACTGGTTTAATTCAAGTCAAAAACATTATTTATTATCACTGAATCAACCAGAAAAGTAGAAGTAGCTACTTAAAGGGATAGTTCCCCCCAAAATTAAAAATTAATATACTCACTCTCATGTCGTTCCAAACTCATATGACTTTCTTTCACCTGCAGAGCACTTAAAAGTTATTTTGAAAAAAAATGTGTCCATATAATAAAAGTCAATGGGGTCATAAATAAATAAACAAACAAACACAATTCTAAGAATTTGTTTGTGCCCCACATAATAAAGAAAGCCATGCAGATTTGGTATAATATTATGGTGAGTAAATGATGAAATAATTTTAATTTTTGGGTAAACTGTCCTGTCACCACACAGTGTGTGTTTGTGTACTTGAACTGCATTTCACCAATTTTGTTTGACAGTATTATCTCAATCTTCAGAGATTACAGTTACAAAAGTTATAGTAGTGATTCTCATCCTGCTGGTCATCCTCCATCATCATACTTCCAGTAATTTATGAGAGAACTAATGATGTATTGATTATGTATAATTTTGACAAGTTGAACAGGCACTTAAACAACACAACTGATGTTTTGACAGCTCCCTTTTCTGCAAGATAAAGCCAAAATGAGAGTTTCGAGCTTCCTGAGAAAGCCTCTATAGTGTGACTTAGCAGTTCTGAGAGGTTTCTTCTTGAGGCTTCTGGAGATTTGGCAAGTGTGACAAGATGTGAAAAGAATAAGCCAAAAATCTGTCATTTGAATTATTTGACCTCCAGTATGACAGCAGGTTGAGAAAAGAAAACGCTGAACAGTGTGTTTGATGCACAGACTTTGAATTTTGGATTATTTGAAAAACAAACAACAAAGTCAGTCATTAATTCGCACATCCAAAATAAATGTAGCAATTTGCAGGGCAGTTCTCTGAAAGAGGAAGTAGTATCACACAGATAGTCAGATATGGAGATATAAGGACTTTAAATAATCACTGCGGTCAAGCTAAGAACTGTGGCCAGTGACATCAACACCCACAGTCAAACACTAACACTACATACTGAAGATACTTCACAAATCCTTCATCAGAGGCTTTTTGTAATGTCATTTATATTCTTTTGATGTCCATAAAATCCATAAAGTTTCTTTAGAATTTTACTTTGCTATTAATTTACTCGAGTTCAGGTATATTCCTATTTGTGACTCTGGAGCACAAAACCAGTCTTAAGTCGCTGGCAGGGATTGAAATTAACTTTTTCACTCACCAGCCAATTTGGCTACTACATTTTTAAGTTACCGGCC